TTGGGCGTCTTTGAAACACTTGCTTAAAATATTTGTCTATTATATCTTCCATTAGGTCTTTTCAAGAACAGTTTCTGTTGGTTTTTGTTTTGTGTTTTTTTCTTTGAATGGGCCATAATTTTCTATTTCTTGCAATGTCTTATGAATTTTTGTTTGTTTGTTGAACACTAGACATTTGAATCTATTAATGTGGCAACTCTGAAAATAAGATTCTCCTCCTTCCCAGGGCTTGCCAGATTTATTTGTTTTGTGGGGTTTTCGGTTGTTTTTCATTGGTAGGGGTGGTTGCGCATGTAGTCTACTTCTGTCGAGGATCAGCCTGAAATGTAAACTTAAGATATTCTGAGGCCTTTTCTAACCTTTCCCTGGGTGTACGTGGTCACTTTCTCATTTTCCCTGTGTGTGCAGTTGCTTTATTTGTTTGTTTGTTTGTTTGTTTGTTTATAGAAAATGGAAGGGAGGGTGGGGGAGGAAAGAGAGAAACATGGATGTGAGAGAGACACATCTATTGGTTGCCTTCTGTACACAACCCGTCTGGGGCTGGGGATCAGCCTACAATCCAGATATATGCCCTTGACCAGGAATGGAACCCCTGACCCTTCAATATTCAGGACAATGCTCCAACCACTAACCAACATTAGCCAGGGCTGCAGTTGCTTTTTAATATTCATATCTTAATGCCTGTCTCCTAAAGAGATAAAAAGCAAAAAATAAAGGAAGAGAAAAAGACACAAGCTCTTTAAATAGTTACCTCAATTGGAGGAGAAGCTTATAAATACAGGGGGAAGTGCAACAACAATGGCTGCCCATCTCTTTATCTGCATCTCTCTCCCATCGGAAGCAATAAAATCGCCAATTGTGACACAACTAAAATAATGTTAGAAAGAAATGAGAGTTAATGGATAAATCTTTTGTGTAACACTTAACCTCATGGACCTCATTATTGTCACCAGAGGAGATAAGATGCTGTGAAGCCTGTGAGATCTTGGGATTATATGCACATTTAATTCATAAAACCTAACTACTCTCTTAGAGGTATGTGTATCATTACCGTTATAGTTTTGCTGGCTGATGGGAGCTATGAAAGAATTCACAACTAAAAGAAGAGATAAATGCAGAAAGCAAGCTTTGTTTTGTTTTTACTTTCCCCAAAGGAAAGGTCTGATGCATTGCTAATCAATACAAGGGCAAGAAATAAACATTGGCCTACTCTTTTAAAGGATAATGGCTGTTGTTGCTAGGTGACAAGGAAGGGAGAAGGATTTGGGGCTGTCTGTGAAAAGTTTGTTTGCTTTTTTAAATCTGGGCAGATGTCCTAGGGAGGTGTCTTTGTCAATATCTTCACGCAAGCCAAACATGCTTACAGTAAAATTCATGAAGAGTTCAAAATGTTTGAAGAAAGGGGAGGAAGGGAACTTTCTATAATTATCCTTGAGTTGTTAAACCAGCAGGGAGGAGGTGTATGCAAGAATGTAGCCTTGAGAATAACTCATCCTGTCTTGCAGTGTGAACAGAGGGGCTGTTTGAAACAGAGGAGCTAACAATCTTGAAGCTTAATTATCAGGTGCTCCTCATAAATTGTATAAGGCTACAGCTGAGAAGGCTAAAAAGCTAATTCCAATGTGACCCTGATATTTGGGGGGGGGGGGGGGGGGGGGCGTGCTAGCAACCTGAATCTGTGCCAGCAAGCCCAGTGTACATTCTTGATAACCTATAATTAAGTCATTGTCCCTTTTTCCACAAACTTGTCTTGCAAGACCTGTTACCTAAATGCTTACATTTCACAGAGGCCATAAAAAATGACACAGCCCCCAGAGAGGGGTTATCAGCACTGGCACCAGGCCAGGCCCTTAGGTATGGTCTCAAGACCCCCAACACCTGTGGCTTTTTGCAAAGCCCATGAAAGGCCCAGAAGTATAATTCATATTTGGGTGTCAAATATACCAAAAGGGGATACCATACTGGTTTGCTCAGAATTTGAGAGGCAACCTGCTCTGAGTCCACTGGTGTAATATAGCTGTGTAACTCCATTTCCCTAAGCATTGTTTGGTTTTTCTCCAGTCTTCTATAACACAGCAAAGAAAAAGAGAGGCCTTTTTTCTTGTTCTCACACTCACAATTGCTAATTTAATCAATGAACACAACTACGGTTGTGGAAAAGAGTGATTTTTGTGGAACAGCTCTAGAAAGTAGTCGATTGAAACAGTGAAACTAGATTAACTTGTGAACAGCTTAGGAAATTATGAACCTGTACCTGTACAGCTTTATTTCATAAAGTACTTCTTCACACATATTCTGGTTGTAATATACAAACCCATAAAATTTAACAGTTTCCTTTCTGAAAACTATTTCAACTGAAATCATGCTTTCTGGAATAGTGGAAGCAGCAAAATATAAAAAAGGTCAGGCTGTGTAAAGGTAAGACAAACATTTTCACCTGGCTCCATCTACCCACACATACACTTTTTGGCCAGTTCTCACTAATTAGTCACAAACAAGTTTTGTTCTTCCCCTATCACTTCTATTCACCTGTGGTCCAAATTTAGCCTGCTACTGATTTTTGTAAACCCTGCAAGATAAGAATGGTTTTTACACTTTTTAAATAGTTGGGAAAAAAGAAAAAAGAAAAAGAATAATTTTTTATGAAACACAAAATTTATATAAAATTTGCTATCTATAAATAAAGTTTTATTATAATGCAGCCATATCCATTTTTAATATATTTTTATTTATTTTTGAAGAATGGGAGAGGGAGAGAGAGACATCAATGATGAGAAAGAACCATTGATTGACTGCCTCCTGCACACCCCCAATGGGGATCGAGCCCACAACCCAGGTATGTGCCCTTATCAGGAATCTAACCATGACCACCTATTCATAGGTCAATGCTCAGCCACTGAGCATGCTGGTCTGGCAGCCATGTCCATTTTTAAGTGTACTAATTATAGTTGCTTTTATGTACATTGGCAGCTACAGATGTAACAGAGACTATATGGTCTTCAAGGCCAAAAATATTTATTATCTCCACTTTACAGAAAAAAATGTGCTGATCTCTGTGCTAGATACTTCAACACCAAGGTGACTTGGGAGCTACAGAGTACACCATAAAAGTTTGGGGGCAGAGGAATGATCACATTCAAGGTATTCTCTTAAGCTATAGGCCATCACTAGACATTTGAAGAAAGTTTGAGAAAAGGGTCAGACAGTTTCAAAGATCAGACTAGCAGAAAAGAAGTCAAATGAATCTCAAGGTACTCAAAGAAACAGAACTAAGAAATACTAATAAAATTCACTACTCAAGGAGCATGACTTAAAATACTGTAGATGATAGTTGAATTGAATGATTTCTCATGTCCCTTTAACGCTAACCCTGACACTCTGTTTCTCCTATTCTGTGCAGATCTATATTAGCACTGTAGTAATTCAAAGAAATAGGAGTTTCCTGAAATGTGAATATACCAATAAAATAATATTTTGACTGATAACAACCACATTAGCTTTTCCTTTCTTTTTTTTGTAAATTTGTTTATGGAAGGTAAAAGAAATCCCAGACATGCAATCATCCATAAGCCCTGATAAGCCCCACAGACTGTCTGATGTTACAAAATTCAAAATGAATAAGGGAGTATCCCAGAAAATAAGCCATAAATATTGGTCTCATCACAAAGATCCTGTATAATAAAATCCTAATATGCAAATCGACTGAATGGCAGAATAACCAATGGAACGACCAGTTGCTATGACACACATTGACCACCAACTGGGGGCAGCTCCTGCATTGAGCATCTGCCCCCTTCCCGCCCAGAGGGAGGCATCTGGCTGTGGTGATTAGAGAGTGGGGCCAGCCAGCAGGTGGCACCAGGCCACCAGCCAAGGCGGGTGCCAGCGAGGGCCCTCCAATCACCCCACCTGACAATCACCCTACAGATGGCCCTGATCACCGGCCAGGCTGAGGGACCTTACCCTAAATATTGGGAACAGTCTTTTAGATTTAAAATTAAAACCTGGCAAGGCTACTCTAACACTGAAAAAAAAAACACAAACAAACAAAAAAAAACAGGATGATGAAATGGTGACAGGCATAGGCTCTGGCTGGCACATTTTGTGGTCAGCCCTGATTCTGACACATAACTATTGGACAAAGCCAATTATTTAACTTCTCTCTACATCAGTTTTTCCACCCATAAGATGAGGGAAATGGTACTACTGCCTCAGAAGGATCATGTTATGTACTACTCTTTAAAATCAGGGCAAAAACATGTTGCTGCCCATACAACAGCAAGATACCTTTCACCTGTATGAAAAGTATAATCACTGGTCCATGCAGCATGTCAAATTGTGAGAAGACACAGGCTGGACTGAGGGTCCCCCCATGCACGAATTTCATGCACTGGGCCTCTAATGCTACTATATTACTGTACAATACCTGTTATCAAACTATACTACAAGACCATAGTAATCAAAAGAGCCTGGTACTACAAGCATAAGAATAGGTATACGTGTGGATCAATGGATTAGCACAGAGAGTCCAGAAATCAACCCACATCTATATGGTCAATTAATATTTGACAAAGCAGGCAAGAGAAAGACAGTCTCTTCAGCAAATGGTGTTGGAAAACTGGACAGGTAGCCTAGCCAGTGTGGCTCAGTGGCTGAGTATTGACCTGTAAACCAGGAAGGCTGACTTCTTATCAGGGCACATACCTGGGTTGGGGGCTCAATCCTCTGTAGGGGTTGTGCAGGAGGCTGCCAATCAATAATTCTCTCTTATCATTGATGTTTCTCTCTCTCCCTCTCCCTTCCTCTCTGAGAGTAATAAAAACATTTTTTTAAAGAAAATTGGGTACATGCAAAAACAATGAAACTACAATAGATCACTAGCTTACACCATCCACAGAATAAACTCAAAATAGAAAAAATACTTAAATGTGAGTCACGAAACCATAAAAATCCTAAAAAAAAAAAAAAAAAAAAAAAAAAACATAGGCAGTAAAAGTTCATAGGCAGACATCTCTCATAGCAATATTTTTGCCAATATGTTTCCTAGAGCAAAGGAAACAAAAGAAAAAATTTAACAAATGGGACTACATCAAACTATAAAGTTTCTGTGCGGCAAAAGAAACCATCAACAAAATAAAAGTGAACCCACTGAATGAGAGAACATATGCACTAATGATACATCTGACAAGAGGTTAACCTCCACAATATATAAAGAACCTACACAACTCAACGCCAGGAAGACAAGAAACCCAATTAAAAAGTTGACAAAGGACTTGACTAGACTCTTTTCCAAAGAGGACATACAGATGGCCAATAGGCATGTGAAAAAGTGCTCAACATCACTAGTCATCAGAGAGATGCAAATTAAAACTACAATGAGATATCATCTCACGCCTGCCAGAATGACTACCATCAATAAATCTACAAAAAGTGATGGCAAGGGTGTGGAGAAAGGGAACCTTAGTGCACTATTGGTGGGAATGCAGATTGGTGCAGCCACTATAGGAAACAGTATGGGATTTCCTCAAAAACTTTTAAAATAGAATTGCCACTTGATCTAGCGATCCCACTTCTGGAAATATATCTTAAGAATCTCAAAGCACCAATATGCACCCCTCAGTTCATAGCAGTGTTGTTTACATCAGCCAAGACCTTGAAACAGTTCAAATGCCCATCAGCAGATAATTGGGTTAAAATGCTGTGGTACAGCCCTGGCCAGTATGGCTCAGCTGGTTGGGCATCATCCCGTGCACCAAAAGCCAGCTCAATTCCCGATCAGGGCACATACTTAGGTTGTGGGTTTGATCCCAGGTAGGAGGTATGCAGATCTCTCTCTCTCTCTCTCTCTCTCTCTCTCTCTCTCTCTCTCTCTCTCTCTCCCTTCCTTTCTAAAAATCAATTTAAAATCTTTTTAAAAATTTCAAAACTGTGATACATTTACACAATGAGATACTACACTGACATAAAAGAAGAAGGAAACCTTACCTTTTGAAACAACATGGATAGACCTGGAGACTATTATGCTAAGTGAAATAAGCCAGACAGAGAAAGACAAATACCATATGATCTCACTTATATGTAGAATCTAATGAACAAAATAAGCAAACAAAATAGAACCAGAAGCATGGATGTATGGAACAGACTGATCAGAGGTCAGAGGGAAGTGGGGGAACCTGGATGAACAAAGGTGAAGGGATTAGCCAAAGAGCACATATGCATAAACCATAGACACAGACAACAGTATAGTGATGGCCAGAGAGGAGAGAGATGGGGGCTGGATGGAAGGGGACAAAGTTGGGAGGGAGAACATCTGTAAGTGTCAACAATAAGAAAAAAGAAAAAAAACAAGGGTGCTATTATAATATTCCCTAAGCTCACACATTCTAATTGACTCTGGGGAAAATAAATGATGTAACAGAACACAATGGAGACCAATCTTAGCAGTTACCTTCAGAGGGAGCCCCGACTCTTTTCCCCAGTTTGTAAGGAAACTGGAAGAGGATTTCTACAACTCAGCAGGCAAATAATAAAGTGTTTCATTAGTTTGATCCTTTAGCCAGAACTGACCAACTGGGTCTTCTGCCATGAGCTCTTCACAGTAACTATCCTGACCCCGTGAGACCCAAAACCATTGAGATTATCCTAAGAATAGTTTCAAATCTCTTCTCTCGGGTTGCAAAAGGATTTTCTGTGGATACTGACACCTCTAGATGAAGGTGATTCTCCCTCTCCCCACCAAGTCCCATCCCATTTTCCGGAGTTAAATGTCATCTGCAGGACTTGCTCACTGATGTGGACAGGTGCTGAAGAGAGGAAGATATTTCTCATTATAGATGACCACGGAGTAAGTTTCAGACATCGATGAATGTTGGGTTCAGATACTGTGCAAAGGCTTTCTTCCCTCTCAGTCATTTTATCTCTCAATGTCTTTTCTTGTTTCATTATGCAATTTATTTATTCTGCTCTCACAGAAATTTTCTTTCCTGCTCTGCTAAGTCTATCTGTGCAGCTACCATTTAGCCTTATAATATGGGGATAACACTACATCCCCAAACCTTTGATTGGCTACATCTTCCTCTAAAGCCACCTTTCTTCAGGCTCATTCACTGCCTTAAAAGGTAAGAATATCTTGGAGTTCTGTGGCAGTTCCATCTTTCCTCCTTGCTGTTTGGTCCTTGTCAGTAGGTCCCCTCTTCCTGTAATACAAGTTCTCTGCCCAAAATGTGAAGAATGGATGTGAGTAAAACTATAATCTGATTTCTGTGTCATTTAAACAGACAGTTCAACTGCATTGCTACTGAGGGTTTTATATTTTAATGGAAATTTGAAGCTCAAACTTAATAACTCAGTTTTTTCTCATCTTATTGTATGTATGTATATATTCATTATATGTACATACATATTACTTCTCTATAGATTATTTTCAGTTTTATTTTATTGGGACTGTGATGATGTTGACTATTCTCATGTCTTATTTAAAATTCAGGAAATGGAAATAGATTATATGTGTTCTAAATATTTAAGATTTTTTTTTTCATAAATTAAAAGGAAGTGCTTTGAGTTTATTATCAAGACATAGAAAAAAAATTAAGTTTCTTCATGACCATTTGATAAATGGATGACTGGAGTTAGGTATGTAATTTGAGACCAAAATTAAGCCAAAATAAGATCAAGTATGCTCATTAGGAAAGGTACCTAATGCCTTAGGCAAATCAGTCACTAACAATTTTTAATGATCAGCATTATAGATTTATAGTAGTTTTGTGATCCACTAATGATTCCCATATTTTTTTTAAACATGCTTATACTAGATAACCTTTTGTGTTTGATATAAAATCACAATTAAAAAATATATTGTGCCCTTACTGGTTTGGCTCAGTGGATAGAGAGTAGGCCTGAGAACTAAAAGGTCCCATGTTCAATTCTGGTCAAGGGCATGTACTTGATTACAAGCACATCCCCAGTAGGAGGTATGCAGGAGGCAGCTGATCAATGTTTCTCTCCCATCGATGTTTCTGACTCTCTCTCCCTCTTCCTTCCTCACTATAAAAAATTAATAAAATATATTTTTAAAATAAAAATAAAAAACATATTGCATCAATAATTTCACAGTCTCTGTAAAATGAAAATACTGCTAAGTCTACTTTTTTTTAAAATGAATCAGTGTGACAGTGAAAAGAGATGGGCCATTTCACAGATTAATGGTAACAAAACGTGTTTAATTTTAGAACATACACTTAACTCTACTACATCTAGATTTAGAAATAGGGCAGCAATTAGAATCTTTGACAAAATGAACCATCAAATTCTTAAAATCATTATTCTGATCAGAGACAAAGCTATGGCTTCAGCACACGAACAATTAATGTTGTCAAAGAATTTTTAAAACTAACAATTTACAATCTGAAATAACCTGATTTACTAAATTATTTGGGCTTATTTGTGGGAAGGAATGTTAAGTAAAATGTAGAAAGAATACCAGACTGGAAATCATAAATCCTAGCAGTAGTGCTTACTCTAGCACTTATAGCTATGGGACTCCTCTGTCATTTAACTCCTCTAAGGATCATCACTACACAGATGTAAAATGCCATCATTATTTTGTGAGCTCATACCATCCTAGTTCGCTGAGGTTTCATCAGTGCCATGTTTCTTTCTCTTTGTGTCATATTCTTCTCCCTCTTTCTCTCTCTTTTTTTCTCTCTCTCTCTCTCTCTTCCTACTTCCTATTTTGTTATTGAAAAGAACTAAGGCATCTCAGAGCCATATCTTGTATGTTAATGAATCACAGTAAGAAGAGGGGTGCTCACCCAAGCTTCATGCCTAGAGATCTATAATAATGGCAATGGCATAGGAAAAAAGGTAAAAGAAAATTGCCCTGTTAATATTTATAACTAAATTGGGAAGAAAATCATTAGAGAAATAAATAGAAGAAACTTTAATTGCAACTGGAATAAAATCACACCTAATAAAAACAGTATTACAAATAGGGCTACTAGTACATGCCTTCCCCTCAACCTTTTCTTTAAGATGGTTCTAAAATCTAAGGGCAAGCCAAAACCGGTTTGGTTCAGTGTATAGAGCATCCGCCTGTGGACTCAAAGATCTCAGGTTCGATTCCGGTCAAGGGCATGTACATTGGTTGAGGGCACATCCCCAGTACTGGGTGTGCAGGAGGCAGCTGATCGATGTTTCTCTCTCATCGATATTTCTAACTCTCTATCCCTCTCCCTCTCTGTAAAAAATCAATAAAATATATTTTTTAAAATAAAATAAAAAATAAAAAAATAAAATCTAAGGGCAAGATTAGGAAACACTATTCTCTCAGTTAAATAAAATGAGGATTGGCATATACAAACATTGAATCATTGTGTTGTACATGTGAAACTAATATAATATTATATATCAATTATACCTCAATATAAAAAAAATTTTTTTAAACATTTTAAGTTTGGGATCTATGAACTAGCACGTTAACTTTGTATATTTATTTTTGATAGAAAATTTATCTCCAAAGGCTATAGTTTCATTGCACTGTAACCAGCTTTATATTAATCTAGCAACCTTATGCCAATAGTCTTTTTTTAATGTTTATAAATGCCCTGTTCTTCAAATGCTCTTAGAAACTTTATATTCTAACTAGTTTTCTTATTCTCATGTTAATAAATCTTTTACATGTATTTAAAACACACACACACACAAACACACACGAATCAGCACACTACATATGGACTGGATCTCCCTATCTACAGGAAATTTCCCAAAAGTTGTCATTGTTCAAAAAGAGTAATTCAGAGAACAGAGACAATGTTCCCTAAAGCAAGTATAAAAAAAATTTTTAAAAAGGCACAGAAAATAAATAAGAAAAAAATAATTTAGGAATTCTAAAAAGTTGAGAAATGTGCTGAAAAAAAGAAATCTGTTGGAAATAATAAAGGCAATCTAAAAGAGATATAGATTCAGAAAGAAAATAGAGTAAAATCTTGTGAACATATCCTCACTACTGCCAGAAGAAAAATATGTTGTATCTGAAGGAAAGAGTAAAATATTGATATAAAGATAACGATACTTGTGATTTACCAGGTATTATTCACTGAAACTACTGAAGCCTGAATTGTGTGCTCCATCAAATTCCCTTTGCTCTGATTCAAAACTCAGAAAAATACATCGGGTTCCTAATTTGATTTCTAGGAACCTTGGTATTAGTAAGTGGTTGCCTGGAGTAGTAGACATACCATTTCAGTCATGGGAGTGAGATCTCCCACTACAGGTTAACAAATAGGTTGTTTGGTTTACAAGTCATTCTCACAGATATTTGAATAGTGTGGATTGATTTCCCAATGCCTGATTCCGTAGGGAGACCAAATCAAGCTTCAACGGTAAACCTGCGGAGTTTAACATCTGACCTTTTCTGGTTTGCTCGACCAGAGCAGGTGCCTGACTTCTCACTATTACCATCCCTCTTTGCGTCCTTCTCTTCTCTCTTCCTTTACCATGTTCCAAGACACAAGTATTAGACACAGAGAAATCAAAATACATAGCATCAAGTACAACCACAACTTCACTTATATACTCACAGCTTCATGGCCATTATTTTCCTTTAATTATGTAGTACTTGGAGAGTAGATTTATACAGCATCAAGCACAACCAGCCATTTAATCTAAGTTCTATTCCATTCTGTCTACTACAAAGAGGGAAAGAAAATTTTTCATTGCCTTCCTGCATATTCCCCACTCCGTACAAGTTTATATCCTGGCAGAGATAAGAATGAGGCAAAATAGCCTCTGAGAGTTTCTGAACTGGCAGAATTCTAACAAAACAAATACAGTCAAACCTCAGTTCTCAAACATTTTCCATCTCAAACAATTAGGTTCTAGACCAAGTTACTCAAGGGAAAAAGTGTCAAGAAAAATTTTTTTTCAGTTCTCCAACCAGCAACACTTTTATGTTGATAACTCAGCATGACAAAAAGCAACCCTAAGGCAACAAAGGATAGAATGCTTTTGTTGCTGGTGAAATCGATGATTAGGACAATTTTAAAACATAAAGAGGTCATCAAGCATGTTAATGTTGGCAAGGGTGTGAAAGTGCTCACAAAACAAAAATCACAGGCAATTGTAGAGGTAGAAAAGGCGTTGCTAATTTGGATAAATGAAAAGCAGTTAGCTTGTGATAGCATTTCAGAGGCAATGATATGTGCAAAAGCAAAGATGCTGAAAGATATTCCTGGAACAGTGTTGAAAGTGATTCCTTTAAGGCTAGTAACAAGTGGTTTGACAAATTAAAGAAAATAAGTGTTTATTTATAGATTAAACAGTACATTAAACATTATTCTATATTATAGGACTCTTTTTCACGGCCCACGTAGAAAGAATTCCAATTCAGCCAAGACCGATTTGGCTCAATGGATAAAGGGTCGGCTTGGGGACTGAAGGGTCCCAGGTTCGATTCCGGTCAAGGGCTGTACCTTGATTGCGGGCATATCCCCAGTAAGGGGTGTGCAAGAGGCACCTGATCGATGACTCTCTCTCATCGATGTTTCTAACTCTCAATCTCTCTCCCTTCCTCTCTGTACAAAATCAATAAAATATATTTTAAAAAAAAAAGAAAGAAAGAATTCCAATTCAGGGTTCAGGTTCTGGAGAAGGGCCGCACACAAATGAAAAGAGACTTGAAGAAATTCAACTTGGCGATATGGAGGGGCCAGGCGGAAGTCCAACTCTAGTGAGAGAACTATTCCCTGCTCTGGCCCTGCCATCCCCTTTTATTGCGGCTTTGGGGAAAACATCTTAGGCAACAGAAATTTACATGTAGCCCTTAGGCAGGAAATCACAGAAACTCACAGGACAAACAAGGTAGATTTTGCTTCAGCTAACAATATCTCAACTAAAGATTAGAGCAAATAAGGTTGTTGATCAGCCTTCCTGGCTTCCTGTCAACATCTCTTTTTTAGTGAAACTGATTTGTTTTCCAGCACTATATCAGAAAAGTTAAAACAGGGAATCATTTGTGGGTCAGGAACAGAATAATTCAAATTTACATTATTTCTAATGGGGGAAAAATGATTCAGTTTTCGAACAAATTTCTTCTCCAACAGCCTTCCGGACTGTATTAAGTTCCAGAACTGAGGTTCCACTGAATCCTTTCCCACACCTGTCATTTGCAGTAATTCCTTAATCTTTGGCAAAAGTTCTCTAGGTACAAACTTCTTAGCACAAACATTTTCTATAAACGTCCCGAGAGTGAATATTTTAGGGTTTGCAGAACAAACACAATGACCACTCTGCCATCCTACCACCAAAGTAGCTGCAGACAATACATATGTAAATTAGCAAGGCTGTGTTCCAATAAAACTTTATTTACAAAACAGTCCAACCCCCTGCCACAGAACATACTTTCTCCCTACTTGTCATGTCTCCACATAAGAAAGAAACTTCTCTTCCACTGTCCCGATTTTTACAATCTCTTTCTCTAATTCCTCCTCTCTTACCCCCATGCTAAGTCCTGTTTTGTCCATTCGCTAGGTAAGAATTCTCCAGAAGATGGAAAGCATCAACAGCACCTTGTTGACTGAGTTCATCTTGACAGGAATTCCCTACCCACTCCGGCTAAGGACATTTCTTTTTGTGTTCTTTTTGCTGATCTACACCCTGACTCAGCTGGGGAACCTGCTTATTCTAATCACTGTTTGGGTAGATGTGCAACTCCATGCCCATCCCATGTACATCTTTCTTGGTGTGCTCTCCATCATTGACATGGCCATCTCCACCATCATTGTTCCTCGCTTCATGATGAGCTTCACTGCAGTCCTCACACCCATCTCCTTCGGTGGCTGTGTCACTCAACTCTACTTCTATCACTTCCTGGGCAGCACCCAGTGCTTCCTCTACACCCTGATGGCCTATGACAGGTACCTGGCCATCTGCCGGCCCCTGCACTACCCTGTGCTCATGAATGCTAAGCTGAGTACCTTACTTGTGGCTGGAGCTTGGGTGGCAGGATCCATCCACGGGGCTCTCCAGGCCATCCTAACCTTCCGTCTGCCTTACTGTGGGCCTAACCGGGTAGAGTACTTCTTCTGTGACATCCCTGCAGTTTTGAGGCTGGCCTGTGCTGATACAACCGTCAACAAGCTGGTGACCCTCGTGGACATTGGGGTGGTGGTTGCCAGTTGCTTCTCCCTGATTCTCCTCTCCTACATACGGATCATCCAGGCCATCCTGAGAATCCGAACAGCCGACGGGCGGCGCCGGGCCTTTTCGACCTGTGGAGCCCACGTGACTGTGGTAACCGTGTACTACGTGCCTTGTGCCTTCGTCTACCTGAGGCCTGAAACCAACAGCCCCCTGGGCGGGGCAGCTGCCCTGTTCCCCACAGCCATAACTCCTTTTGTCAACCCCATCATCTACACTCTGCGGAACCAAGAGGTGAAGCTGGCCTTGAAGAGAATGATAGGAGGCTATAGGACTTAAAGTCAGGTCTGAAAGCCTGTCCCCCTCTGGGGAAACCGTCACATTTACAATTTTTTCTAATGTATACATATCAGTAAGTCTTTCTTTTTCTTCTTGCTTTTCCTCTTTAGTGTAACCTGGTGCATGAAATTCACGCACATTAAAAGAGATTAATTAGAGGAAATAATTTAATATCATTATTTGCCTTTTATAATAGAAGTGTCAGGGATGGAAGAAAAGTAGTAAAATGTATATGAAAACCTTCTTCCTGTCAGAGTCTGGGGCACACCACAGGACCCAGAGTCAAGACCACGCATACCCACATACACCTCAAAATCAAGTGAGACCCAGACCCAGCCAGTCCCACTCCTGTCAAGCCCTGCCAGGCATGGGGCGCAGTCTGAGGTCCCCCAGCTTGGTGCCTGGGTTGGGGGCACTGCCTGAAGTCCCCTGTCAATCCCCACAGGGCAGGGGGCATGGCCTCAGGTCCCTGCTGAATGTTCCTTAAGACTCCTATGAGAACTTGGCCTCAGCTGTGGGTGCAGCCATGTTTGTCATGGAGTGATGGTTAATTAGCATATTCCCTCTTTATTAGATAGGATAATATCAATATATCAAGATCAAACACACTTTCTAGCATTCCTTAGAGTTAAAAGCCTCAGCTGCTCCAAGAATAGTGAGATTAAAGCCACTCAGAAGAAGCAAAATCTTGCACACGTAGACATCCAGAGGATTGGCATACCAAAGAAATCCAATAGGCTTTTTAGTCTCTGGGCTGACATTGGTCAAGATCTCATAGAATAGCCTATGCTTCCTTTTTTTTTTTTTTCTTCAAGTTTTTTTAAAATATATTTTTATTGATTTCAGCTAGGAAGAGAGATGGAAAGAGAGAGAGAGAGAGAGAGAGAGAGAGAGAGAGAGAGATCAATGATAAGAGAGAATCATTGATCAGCTGTCTCTTGCATGCCCCATTTTATGAATCAAGCCCACAACAATGGCCAGGGCAAAGAAATTGAGACCTTTTATTATATTTATTTATTTATCATTCAGAATTCCTCTTTTACAATATTATTTGTCTGTTTATAATAGTTGCCTATTTTTTATTGAGTTGTTGACTTTGCCCTATCAATTCATAAAAGATTTTTGTATATTATAAAAAGTCATTGGTGACTATATGAATACAAATATTTTCTTCCAACTGTATCACTTAGTTGTATTTATTCTTTTTATTATAAAATTTTTATTTTTATGCACTAATCTTTTTTTTTTATGGATCTTAGGTTCTTGTCTTCTGCTTAAGAAGTTCACTCCCCACACCAAGATTTTCTAGTATCCTCAATTTTCTTGTAACATTTTGTTGTTGTTGTTGTTCATTTATGTCTTTACTTGAGGTCTGATGCACGAAAATTCATGCAAAAGTAGGCCTTCCTTCCCCTGGCTGCCAGCACTGGCTTCCCTCTGGTACCTGGGACTTGGGCTTCCCTCCTCCAGCTGCCTGTAGGCACCTGGGACCCCAGCTGGCTTCCCTCGGGCTGGCTTCATCAGAAAGGATGTCCCGAAAAATGTCCGGTCTAATTAGCATATTACCCTTTTATTATTATAAATTCCAGGCAAGACAAGGCAATTAGACAAGGCAAGCACTAAAGATCCCAAAGGGAGCTGATGAAAGCTTACTTCCCTTCTGCCTCTGCCATCCCTCAGAACATTGTTAGGGGCTTCATTGTAGGAAACATAAAGCACTCCAGGCTCTGAGGGCAAGTCCAAATCAGCTGGAACAGAGTAGGGCCTCATAGTGGGAATGGAGGGGGGGGAGGGGTGGAACAGAACCACAGGCACCCTTGATGAAGTGATGCGGAGATTATTAATCCAAGCAAATTGTGAAGACTATTTCCGCACACAGACCACCCTCACGTTACTCCAGAGCTAATGCATGGTAGTAACAGTGTTTGTGGCAGGACATCTGGGTAGAGATTACATTGAGTGACTTTGAAGATGATGGGTTGACATCTGTAAAAGTGTCAGGGATGGAAGACTTCCACCCATACTTCACAGATGGACCCAACACCAGCCACCTGTGTCAAGGAACACATTTTCTCTTCTTACAGCTCTTCTAGGTAGCCAGCCCTC